AGAGTGCCTCACCCGTAGGGGTAAAACTTAAGGAAGGACAACAACTGGTAAGAATTAAGCAATACCCTTTAAAAGGAAGATCGGGAAGGGATCCAGCCAGTTATAGAAAAATTTTTACAAATAGGATTAATAAATAGATCTCCACTCAGTGGTAGCAAACCCATACACTTTGTAAACAAAATTAACTCCTGAGCTAATCTGTATTACTGTTGTAGACCTCAAAGATGCTTTCTTTTGCCGCTCTCTCCTGGAAGCCAGTCAGAAAATATTTGCATTTGAATGGGAAAATCCTAGGAGTGGGCAGAAGACCCAGTTAACCTGGACGGTGCTGCCACAAGGATTTAAGAACAGCCCCACTATATTCGGTAACCAGCTAGCAAAAGACCTCGAGTTGTGGGAAGCCCCAACCCCACCCGAAGAGGGAAGGCTGCTGCAGTATGTAGACGACATCCTAATTGCCACCAAGACAAAAGAAACCTGTATGGCTTTGACGGTAAGCCTTTTAAATTTTTGGGGACTTCAGGGCTACCGAGTATCCAAGAAAAAGGCCCAAGTGATGCAATGCCAAGTGATTTATCTGGGCTATGAAATCAGTGCTGGAAAAAGAACTTTAGGACAAGCCCGGAAGGAGGCGATCTGCCAGAGTCCGAGGCCACGACAGTGAAAGAACTGCGAACATTCCTGGGAATGACTGGGTGGTGCAGACTATGGATTTATAACTATGGATTGCTTGTTAAACCTTTATATGCACTATCCGCCACTCAACAGAAAAATCTCCAATGGAATAAGGAGCCTATACGAGCCTTTGACCTGTTAAAAAGGCTCTGATGTCAGCTCTGGCTTTGGGACTCCCAGATGTAAGTAAGCCATTCTTTCTCTTTTCACATGAGAAACAGGGAATTGCATTGGGAATACTGGCACAAGACCTAGGCCTGTATCGTCAGGCAGTCGCCTATTTCTCCAAGCAACTAGATACAACTGCTAAAGGTTGGCCTGGATGCCTACGAGCGGTTGCAGCAGTGATCCTAAATATACAAGAAGCACGAAAATTCACTTTAGGCCAGAAAATGACTGTATTTGTATCTCACACAGTGTCTGCAGTATTAGAAATTAAAGGGGGACATTGGCTTTCGCCCCAAAGGTTCTTAAAATATCAAGCAGAATTAGTAGAACAAGATGATGTGGAGATTGTAGTAACTAACATTATTAACCCAGCTTCTTTCCTGAGTGGAAACACAGGAGAACCTGT